TGGGTCGTGGGTCTGCCCACCTGGCGGGTGTGGGTGGCGGCTCCGCTCCGCCCCCTCTCCAATTGGGGTCACGCGGTCACCACGCTGGCGAGCCGCTGGGCCTGCTCCGGGGGCTGGCGGCGGCCCGGCTCCTTCCCTCCGGCTCGAGGACAAATTGAGGAGACTCGGGTGACTGAGCCTCACCCCCCTTACCAGAAGACCAACTGCTTATGTCACCGCTGGTATTGATGAAGATCTCTCCTCCACCGCTTTCTGCTGACATCAGATCTCTGCCATGTTGGTATCCTATGCGAATGGCAGCATTTCGTTCCCCTTGCCAGGCAACCCAAGCAATGGGTGAGTCCTGACCTGCCCTCAGCAGGACCCGGACCGAGACACAGTTTCCGCGGGCTCCTAGCCCCGGTCCAGGGAAGTTCCGGGAGCCGGAACTCGGCCGCTCCGTGCTCGGTGTAAGCTCCTATAAGTGTAGGCTCCAAGAAGCAGCCCCCGCGGGCTCAGTTCCGGGAGCCGGAATTCGGCCGCTTAGTGTTTGGTGTATGCTCTGATAGTAGCAGGGTCCAAGAAGCAGCCTCCGCGGGCTCCGCAGCCCTGAGCCAGGGCGGTTCCGGGACGGTTCCGGGAGCCGGAACTCGGCCGCTCTGTGCTCGGTGTAAGCTCCTATAAGTGTAAGCTCCAAGAAGCAGTCCCCGCGGGCTCAGTTCCGGGAGCTGGAATTCGGCTTCTTGGTGTTTCGTGTTTGCTCTGATATTAGCAGGGTCCAAGAAGCAGCCTCCGCAGGCTCCGCAGCCCGGAGCCAGGGCGGTTCCGGGACGGTTCCGGGAGCCGGGACTTGGCCGCCCCGCGCTCCGTGTTCACTCCGATAAGATCAGATTTTAAGAAGCCCCCAGGCGCTGAACCCTAGCAATCTGTCTGCAAGCCGCAGGCGAATTGCAGCCTGAAATTACCTGTTCTATGGCTGAATGAGCTGCGGTCAGTCAAAAACAGGTGTGGTGACGTCAGTTTACCAACATGGTGGCTGCTGGCCTCCTCTGTGGTCTGACCGGTGTGGAGAACCGAGATGGACCGCTTCCTTCCCCGTCTCGAACCCAGAATTCAGCCCTGAGTGCGGTGCTTGCGCGTCTGGCAGAAACTGCAGCGCTGTAACCCTGCGTCTCTATCCCAGCGCGCCTTGCAGACTCTAGCCGCGGGGCGATTTGCTGAATAAGCAGTATTACCCTCCGTGCGACAAACCTCTCGCGTTTGAGTCCCCGTAGCCGATCCTCATGCGATGGAAATCCTTCCTCCAGGTTCCGGCGCACCCCACTATTGCTGGAAATTCCTAACAAGATATCCTTTAGCCGTCCTGACTTGTCATACTCCCACACAGTGAAGCAGCACACGGGGGTAATGCACTCCCCTCGCCGCCATCTTCCCTCCTCTCCATAAGTGCCCCCTTCTAATAAGAGTACTCAGTGTCCAGGGCCATAATGCCTTCTCATAGGTTTCAAACACCTCACAAAATTATGGGAGCTTACTAAGTCAGTATAATTGTCCTATTTTTCAAATGGTAAGGATGAATTAGATGAAATGGCTTTCTTAGAATCTAACTTTCTTATCTCTAATCCATTCCCCTGACCTTACATCATACTACCTAAAAAGACTCATATTTACAAAATTGGAAACTTCATTAGTTTTCTGGGGGAAAATGTTACCACAAAAATTTGTATTCCATGTAGTATTCTTAATGTAAAAAAATGATTACTCCTATATCAAAAACTGGCTCCAAAAAACACCCAGGCACAAATGCACAGCAACCTAGGATTTTACTAACAATTAAGAAAGGCGAGTACCTCAGCCTAAATCAGACCAGGAGCTTCCTAAAAATGTCATGTAATTCTGGTCTTCTTTATGGCTGTTCCATGGGAAGTGGATTGTCATAGTAATCTCCCTAGCAAATTGAAACTATATTTCAATGCTTGAGCCCGGTGTCTAAAAATGATAAAAGCACTGTTTTAGAGATTAGAGGCAAAGGAGGTCAACTCCTTGAATTTCTTTACTCCTGACATGAGCCTGACTTCTGGTTTTTCTATTTTAGGTTCAGCTTCAGCGAAGCCCAGGCCATGCACTGCAACTTGCAAGAAGCTTCTATGCATATCACACATGTGTGAGTTGCTGCTGACACAGCAATCACCCTTGCTCTATTGAATGTCTTTCACTCTTTAGCTGATTCCATTATGAAAAACAGTGCTGGCACAGCCTCATGATCACTTAACAATCCTCTCTTATTTAGGTGGCTAACACTCTTAGAGTTTATTTACAAAGAAGACATTAATGATATATGGAGGGCAATTGGTTTCTCGAGTTTTTTTTTATGATTATTATAGGTTTTAGTATAATGAGACATTCCACAAACTAAGTAAAAGAAGTTGCTGCAAATCAAAAGCTCTCAAAGATCAGAAAGTATTTGTGATCTTTGCCATCCAAACATAGACACTAAAGCAACACTTATTTCTTTTTACTATTAATTGTCTAGCTAAATGTGATGGAGTCTATTCTCAATTTCTTTATTCGATAGTGTGAGCCTTCTGTGTCATTCTAAGTATGCCATCATTAATAATTATTATATATAGATTTAGAGTAAATAAAATCATATCTTAATCACCAACAAGGTTTATATTAAAAGGCAAAAATCTTACATTATTAATCTCTGTTTATTTTCCAATATCTTTTGCAAAATCTCTACAAATCCTACATTTACAATTAAACTGAAAAAAAAAAAGATGGAAACAACAACAAAATTATCCAAAGACAAAATCCAGGATAAAGACATTAAAACTGAGGATATATGGCCATGCTTAAAACCATCAAAAGCTGTCAGTTTTTAGTCCATATATAATTCTGAAGATTACTTTTTAATATTAGATACATCTTTCCTAATGATTAATAGAAAATATTTTTTATCACAAGTAGTGGAAGGAGCAAAAATGAGCTAAAATGTTTGTCTATATTTATAACATATTTGTAATAAGATCTTTTAATATTGAGATATTATGAAATTATAAACCATTAATAATCCACAACATGATAGAAATTAAATGAAAACTTTAAGGTTGGTTCAAAATCATCTAAAAATCAAGGACAATGTTGAAAATGTTTTAAGAATATCAAACATTTAAATTTTAAAGTTTCACATCAATTGAAGAACACTTGAAGTAATATTGCATGGTATTACAGGATTTTTCAAAGTTCTTTTAAGGCATTTTTCATTAATGTCAATGTCATAATAAAACACTTCAAGTTAATTTTTTTTAAAATCACATCCTATATCCATCCCTCCATATGTACAAAAAATGTTCATACAATCATGCTGTTGTTGGCAAAACTACATGTAGATAATTAAAACATATTGACACAGTATTACCATTGTAACATTTCCTCTGTAAAATAGTTCACATTTTTTATTCTGCAGCTGTTAGCTGAATTTATGGCAGAGAGCTATATGATGACTAACAGATGACTTCATGTTTCATTTTGGTTTATATGTTCTTCAAATCCTACTTGGAATGGTGACGATTAAATAATCATCCATAGTTACTGATTCAGAACATCAAAAGAGAGCAATATAAAAATATATGAACACACAGAAGCAATCTAACCACTGATGCAGGAATAGATAAAGAAACATGGTATATACATTTTTAAAAAATAAGAAAATCCTGCCATTAATGACAACGTGGATGAACCTTGAGGACATGACCTTGTGCTAAATGCAATAAGCCAGATATGGAAGGATGGACATTTAGAAAATCTCACTTATGTAAAGAGGCTAAAATCTTCCAATTGATGGAAGGGGAGAATATAATGATGATTACCAAAAGCTGGAGGAAGAGGAAACAAGAAGTATTAAACAAAGTGTACAAAGTTTCAGTTGTGCAACATGAATAAATCCCAGAGATTTGTTGAACAGCATAGGACCTATAGCCAGCAATATTGTACTGTGCACTTAACAATTTGATAAGACGGTAGATCTTATGTCAAATGTTCTTATCACAAAATGAAGATCATAGTAATAAAGAGAGTGGGAGAAATTTTAAAGGTGATGATTATATTTATGGCATAGCTTGTGACGGTGTTTCACGGCTACAAAATTATCTCCAGATTAATCAAGTTGTATACATTAAATATGTGCAGCTTTTATCTCAAAAAAAGTAATTTAAAATTCCATGCTAAATCACAGGTGAAACTTGAGCTTCTGAAAATTAAATGTGGATGCACTGCAATTTTTACTTAATTTAATGCTTTCACTTAAATTTAAAATTTGAATTCTAAAACAATATATAATAGCATAGATCACTTATTGATTAATGAAAGCTTACAAAAAGTGAAAAACTAACATAAAAAGACATTAAAACCACATCTTCCCTCCACTTTTTCTTCCTGGATGTCTTAAAACATCATAATTTCAGCCACTACAAACCCAACTGCAGGTTTAGATGTCCATATACTCTCCTAGAGCATACGTATAATGCATACAACTCTTCATAAACTTAGCAAACTCTTATTATTTAATCCTAAAATACATATATATACAAAAATAATTCATCAATTTTTTTGTTAATTTATGTGTTTCTTCTCTTGGAAGAAATAATAAGATTGCAACTTTCTATGTATTGAAATATCCTGTTATGTTTAAAATAATACTTATTAATTACTGTTGACTTCTCTATTTTGAGGATAATTTGTCTTCATTATAAAATACTACAATCTAAAATATTTCCACTTACATAAATTGTAACATTTTGAAATCAATCTATAACAAGTCAGGCTCTATTTAGTTTCTAATTAATAAAAGATAGCTGTTTTCTAATACTAACATTTTAAATTTTTGTTAGTTTTTCTTTATTGGATAGCTAGATGACAGGTGATGCTTTTCAGTCACCTCTAATGATAATATGAGCCTAATGTGGCACCAGATCAACCTTCTCTGGAGGTTCCAGATGATTAGAGAAAAGTGTGCTTACCATGTTCCAGCCAGGGTAGAGGTAGTCTGTACCCACAAATTCAAAGTAGTGAGCAAAACCTTCCTTCAGCCACACGTCTTCCCACCACACAGGAGTCACGAGGTCACCAAACCACTGCAGTAACAAAATGAATGGGCATCAGAAAAAAAAAAATCATATCTATCTGGAAATGACTTTGTCTAAAACTAAATGTATTAAACTATGATTATTATAACTGGAAGTCATTCCCCGATTGATTTAGTGATCTTAAAATGTGTTGTGGCAAGACTGTATTGATTGATTAAACAACTTGGGCAACGCTAATGTTTTATAAATGCATTCAGAGAACAATAGAAAAGAATGATCAGGGAACATGACAAGAATATTTAACTTGAAGAAGAAAGGAGTGAGGAGAAACAACACTGATGAAGGCTGTCTTCAAATGTGTGAAGGCCTATCATGTAGAAGAAAATTTTGTTTCTTGTGGCCCTACCAGGGAAAAACTAGAACTAATGAATAGAAATTAGGATTGGTAAATGGCTGCTGAAAATGCAGACAGCCCTCTGACTGAAATGACCCAATATACAAATACTGCCTTCAGAGGTAGTAAGTGACTCATCACAGGAGGTGTGAAAGCATCGCCCTCTAGTGGCAGAGGCAATTCAGAGAAGACACTGGCCAGCTGATCCAACTAAAGGCCGTGATCCTCCATGCCTGACACTCCATGCTTCCAAGATAATGGAGGGCAGGGCCCAAAACTCTAAGATCCCTTTATGAAAAACAACGTTAAAAACTTTCATCGGTGTTTTGACTAAATTATGGTGCATTGCTCTGAAACCCATGCTTCATTAGGACCTGTGAAGGAATATTTTTCTTCATTAATAAAAAAAAAAGTACATTATATGCTGGGAGCTATCCTAGAGACTTGAGATTCAGTGATAAAAAGTTAAATAATTCCTTTCTTGTGCAGCTAAAAATTTATCGTGAAAGCAGGAAGATGAAGTGACACACACAATAAAAACACAAAGTAATGAACAACACAATTTCAGAAGTTAATAAAGTGTTTCAGGATGGAAAAGGGCGTGCTTTAGATTGTGAAAGCAAAAAGAATATTAGTAGTTGACACCTAAACTTAGATTTTAATGACAAGAAAGGGACAGCAATGAGAAAGCCTTGGGTAAGAGGATTCCAGGCAGATACAAATCACCCTTGGTGTGAAGACCCTACTTGGGAATAAGCTATTTCAGAAACAGTAGGACCCATGAGGCTGGAATATAGCAGATAAGGAGGAGGAAAGCCTGGAAAAGTCCTGAAAGGCATACAAGTACCAGATCATGAACAGCTTTAAAAGCCACAGTAGAGAACTTGGTGACTAAGGGTCTTAATATTGATACTCAAGTATCAGTTCCTCCAGGGACCTCTAAGTGAATACAAATAAAAGACAGCTTTGAATATGTTGATGACCGTAAAACACATTTTAAACTATTTTATTCTTTATCAAAAATGCATGTTTCTCTTTTAAATTACCAACTTGTCTTCAAAATCAGTACAACAAATAAGTGGAGAGGGAGGGTAACAAAGGAATTATTGTGACAATGACTGAAAATATTGTGCTTTTTCCTAGCTTCTGGTCCCTTTCCTCGTGGTAAATATTCTACCACGACTACTAAGATAGGAAAGCAACTCACAATCTGAAACACATGAGATCTAGTTCCCTGAACAATAATAACATTATCAATGTGCTTTCATGCCAACAGAACTATCTAATTTGCCATTTACACAGGTAGTCAAAAAGCAAACCCTTTTGCCTCAAAGAGTTGTAGGTTTAGGTGAAAACCATTCTCTTGAGCACAGAAGAGGAGTCCCAGTTATACCTTTAATGAATCCCCTGTAATTTCTGAGCTAAGGAACACATGTCTGACCCTGACCAGGCCAGTATGACAGATACAAACATCTTACAGGTTCACTGCAAAAGGCTGACATTTAGGTAAATGGTCATGCAGCCTGGGCCGATTTATCATTAAGTGGCAATTCATTTATTGGCATTTAACTGTTCACCTTTTTTCACTGAAAGCATTTTACACATCACTCTTTCCTCAGTTGTGCTAGCTTTTAAAAAGGTTTTGGGTTTATAATATACTGAAGTCATACTGTACCACAATGAGACTTCTGGTGTTTGAAGTTAAAAACTCTCCATAGTTACTGGTAACCAGAACAAATATTGCTTTCCTATTGTAAGAACATCTATTTTCAGTAATTCTTCTTCACTAAAATTAAGTTTCAGATAAGCATGCAAAATTCTAATACCTTCCCCTCATTGTAAGAAAGTGCATAAAATCAAAATGAAATTAATTTTATCTTCGCTTCGCTACAAAGTTGGCTAATTTACATATGAATTTCTAAACATGCCAAGAAAAAAAAAATATCAATCATTTGAGAACAAAGAGTCTACGGCTGAGTTAGTGAAAGACTTCCTAAGAGTCTGTGTGATGGGAAAAGGGGAATAACAAATTGATTTCAGCGAAAGCAAATTTTGACACGTACACAAAACTCAGCTGCATCTTGCAACAATGCAATAAATCATTGCTGTCCCTACACTTACCATATATACACACTAATAATCACAAGAAAATAAAGCAAGGTTGGTGAGAAACAGCCACCAGATGGATGCTCCAAAGGGGCAGCTGCTAGGTGGCTCTGGTAGCTCACATTTCACTAAACTGAAAGACATTTGCTTATTCAATATGACCAGTGTACTTATTTTTGTTTATGTGGTCATCTGAGAAAAATAGATGTGTCTTCCAGAAAATACTACCTGGTGCTTCATATAAGACTTAATTAGTAGGTTAATAATTTGGCTCCTGACCTCGGTATCTGAAATCATTCTACATTCCCAATAGTTGGCACATTATACTTACACCTGATCCTTTTTCTCATACCTGGTGACATATCTCATGCACAATGACCATGGTGACATCCAGCAAATAAGAAATAGATGAAACACTGGGATCCAGTAGTATTCTTTGTTCCACAAAAATACTTAGTCCCCAGTTCTCCATAGCAGCATACGGATGCTTAGGCACAGCTAAAAGATCTAGAAATAGAATAAAACAGTTCCAAAAGCTTTAGGCTTTAGCAAAGATATCAAATTCTAAATTTCATATTCTAAAAAAAAAGTCCGGAAATCCTAATGAGAAAGGATACTTGCTCTCTTGGAGATTTTTTTTGGGGGGTGGGGGGGGGGGTAAATTAAACCACCTGCCATTTCTACCTGACAGCAGAAATACAGGCTATCACTATAAATGCGGGTCATATCCATTCATCACAGTTCATTTTCTGGCCCGGCACTATAGGTGGCTGGAAGTATCGACACCATTATTGATGGGCTCATCCTAATAAGTTTCAGAAAGTCAAGGAAAACCAAATGCAGCAGGAATCCACAGAGTCCAAGGCATTGTGGCTTCTAAAGAAAATATATTCAGCTCAATGCAGTAAATGCTGTACTCTTACTTGTCCCTCAATATTTGCCAAGACAAAACATTTTGTATTAGTTTTTAAATGTGGAATCGTTTTTCTAATTGTTTAAATGCTACTATATTTTTTTTCATTTCTGTTAAAAATAAAGTGTTGCATGTAAATTTAGTGTATAGAGACAGTTGCTATAGTGGATGTAGTAGTGAAAGGACTACAGAGGGGACCCAAGGGCTTTAGTCTGGCCCTGCCACCATTAACCAAATAGGCGATATCAGTAAATCACTTAATTTCTCAAGACCACAATTCCCTCACCTATAAAATAAGGTTATTGGCCTTATCTCTAAAATGCCTTCCAGCTCGAAAAATCTATGATTAGACGATTCTAAAATCAGGCTTTATTTTAAAAGGTCGCGGAGGTATTATCAACTTTTGGTTATGGTGACACAAAAAGTTCAGACTTTGATGTACTCCCTCTGCTCCAGACACACAGAAATGATAAATAAAATATTTAAAAAGAAAGCTGAAAAACATCTCCAGGCTCAAAAATAAACCTCTCCATGGACAAGAAACGGTACAGAAATGTAAAGTGGTGATTGCATGTGAAGCCACAGGCCTGCTGGGTTCTGGCTCCAGAAGCAGGCAGTGGCAGCTGGGAATTGGCTCCAGCAGGGCTCAGTAGAGCCAAGAGGACCAAAGCCAAGCTGAATGCTTGATGCCAGGGGTTGAGGTAGGGCATACATGCTCATGGAAAGAGACTGAAAATAGCCAGTGATCATTGCTTCCTGGGAAAGCCAGCAAGTAGCAGGGTCAGGATTCGAATCCAGCATCCTGGCTCCTGCACCTGGGCCCTTCATCATAATGCCAAAGTGCTCAATGTCTCTGTCTCAGAATTTCTACATCCCAATAATAAACCCTGGAGTGATGCTATAGGATACTACAGAAAAACTGTATAAAAATGTTCAGTGTATTATTGTTTGTAAAAGTGAAAAGAGAAAAGTAAATGCCTTTCCACAAGGTAATGAATAAAGAAACTGTCAAAGAGTTACACAAAGAAATACTATGCAGCAATCAAAATAAGTGATCTCTCCCCAAAATTCTAACTCTACAGGGAACAACAGACAATCAGAGAAACATAACATTGGGGAAGAAGAAAGGCATAAATGACCCATATATAATATCATATATTATATTTAGAATCTCACATACGAACACACACCCACACAGATAGTAATGGTAAAATATGCACACACAGAGAATAAAGACAAATTCAGGATCACAATTGCTTCAGGGAATAAAGGAGAAAAAAATGGATGAGAGATAATGACACAAGGAATTTAGTGTTAATGCCTATAATACTAATGTTTTAAAACAAGAGTTTATTACATGGATATTGATATCTTATTATTGATTCTCTTATATATGCTTTAAATAGTCATAATATATAAAAGAAAAATATTCAACAGTTAATATAGTTAATTTTATATGGTTAATTTTCACTTATTTCTGACTTCAACAAATCTCTTCTCTGTATTGGTGATGCTCTCAAGTCTGAAATATATATATATTAAAATAAGTTAAATATGTTCCCTGTATTCTAGTATGTTTTACACTAAGAAAGAAGGCATAGCAAGTTTAATACATAAGGGAAAATAACTAAAGTAAAAAGTACAAGTAGGGAGAAAAAAAGCCTGACTGGGAAGATTCTTGAAAAAGATGGTATTTGAATTGAATTTCAAAAGATAAACAGGATTTCAATAGACAGATACAGGTAATCGCTTCACTCAGATATACAACAAACACCAATTGAGCCTGTCTGCACACTGGAGGCACTGTTTTGGGTATGTCCTTCAACACCTTGTTCCCTGCTCTCAAGATGCTTATGTTCATGTGCAGGTATGTGGAGGAGGGCAATTCACAAGCAATAAATGAATGAAAGAAATTTAGTAAGGAACAAATACTACCCAAAATACATGAGTAAGGTAATGATTGGTGGAATGGGTGGCAGCAGCATGGTCAAGGCAGGCCTTCTCGGAGGTTATCACATTTCTCCCAATATGTGGATGAGCATGGAAGCCAGCTTGTTTGAAGATCTGTGCAAATGTATTCTAAGACAGGCGCACAATAAATACCATGGCCCTAAGGTAGAAATAAAAAAAAAATGCTGGACAAACAGAAAGAGAGGACACAGATCACAGAACTGGGACAAACTGCAGGTTCAGAATGAGTAAATATTCTTCTACTGTAGATTTTTAACATAAGACCTTGCCCGAATATGAATGAAGTAGTCAACAGAGCCACCTATTACAGTTTGGATGTGAGGTGTCCCCCAGAAGCTCACGTGTGAGACAATACAAAAAGGTTCAGAGGGGAAATGATTGGGTTGTAAGAGTCTCAACCCAATCAGTGAATTAAATCACCTGATGGGGATTAACTGAGTGGTAACTGAAGTGGTAGGGTGTGCCTGGAGGAGGTGGGAATTGGCTGTGTGGCTTTGGAGTACATATTTGTATCTGACAAATGGAGACCTCTCTCTCTGCTTTCTGATCATTAAGTGAGCTGCTTCTCTCAGGCATACTCTTCAGCCATGATGTTCAGCCTCGCCTTGAGCCCCAAGGAATGGGGTCAGCTCTCTATGGATTTTGACCTCTGAAACTGTGAGCCCTTAAATAAACTTTTCCTCCTCTGCAGTTGTTCTGGTTAGGTCTCTAAGTCACAGCAGTGAAAAAGCTGACTAAAACACTGAGTTTACACTGTGTCCAACTTTGCCTGTCACCAGTAGAGAGCAGGAGCAGTAGCAAGCCTGGTGTCATTTACCTGTAGGAACAAATGGATTTATGGGCAGTTCTTCAGAACCAAGCCTCACAAAGCAAAGGCCACTGTGCTTTATAGACCTTCATGAGCCAAGAGCAGTCAGTCCCTAATACTAAAGGCGCAGATGAAGCCAAATACCAGGAAGTAGATTGGCTCAAATGGCATGGATGGAAGACTCCTAATCATATGAGTCCAGGAGTTTGCAATAAAAAGGAAGGTATACTTTGGGGGCAGTTTTTAGACAATAAAAACCTGACTAGGCACATAAAAGTCAGTATGGTGAAGTGAAAGTTACAGTTTATGCTACAGTCAACAGGCACGGGAGACCTAAGCAAGCAACTGGTTATACATTGGTCTCTAGGGGTAGAAGGCACAGAAGTCAGGGCTAGGCAACAAGGTTACAGATCAACCAAACAAGGACACTTCATCAAGGAGATCCAGACTCTGACAAAGTCGTTGATGAACGGAATACAACTCAGAAGAATCAGTAATAAGGTGCTGCTTCTTAATCAGGCTTTATAATAGATGTAAGAAACCATATTTACAGATGGCAGAGGGAGGAGAAAAAGAGAAACTAAAACCACTTAGATTGTGCTACCACACATGTAATAACCTTGTAACACAATACTGGAGGAATTTCCTCAAATAACTATGGAGGGGCACTTAATTGTACCTCTATATTTTCAGGACTTAAGGAATCTCATATGAAAGTTTTACAATTTAAGAGCAGGTATATGTCTACACAAGGACTCACACACAAATGTTCATAACTGTTCAATTTCCAGTGAGTAAACACTGGGAATAACCCAAATGTCTGTCAATAGGCAAACAGATAAAGGAAGATATATCCATACAACAAAATGCCATTCATTGACAATGAAGAATAAGCCACAGATACTAGCAACAACATAGGTGAATCTCAAAAAATAGTTAACGTTACACTGAGTTTAAAATTTTTTTATAATTATATACTGTATGATTGATGTGATTTACATAAAATTCCAGAAATGCAAACTAATCTATAATGTCAGAAAGCAGATCAGTGGTTCCCTGGAGACAAGATGGGAGGGATTTACAACACAGCAATAGGAAACTTTTAGGAGTGAGGGATGTGTTCATGATGGTGATGATTTCATATGTGTATATGGATATTATAGCTTATCAAGATACACTTTAACTATGAGCAGTTTATTGTATATTACTAATCTCAATGAAGCTGTTTTTTAAGAAAACTGGACTAGTAACTGAAACATTCTTCTTTTGCTTATTTGAAGCAGATAACATTTATTCACAGTGAATTAAATTATTTTAATTTTTGCAAAAATAAATTAATGAGACTATATCCATTAAAATGTGCACTCAAAACTCTTTAATATGCCTTGAAAACAGAAAACTCAAATGTTTCAGAATCTAGTTTACTTAGAAATTCAAAGAAAATCCTAAATAAAATTATGCATAGTGGTCTACTTCCAATTAACCACTGCAGTCTAAAACTATAGATAGGACAGAGAATCCATATAATATTAGTGGATGTGATAGTATAAGTTAACATAAAAATCTACACTCTATTTGCACCCCTCCTCTCAGCCCTCAACACACTGCAGTGTGCCTACCACCTTAACCCTATGTTTAAAAAGCTCTAAAGAACTGAACTCACAAAATCTCAAGAATATTCCTCAGTTCTTATCTGTGGTGGCATTTCTGAGAATTTTCATATTGTTGATTAGTGTATATGATAACAGGATATCCGTGTTTTTATCACTTCTCAGATTAGCACTTCTTGTTTTATTTATATTGCTTTGTTTTACA